ACAAATTGCCATAGCTCTCCTTTTACATGTAATTAATGCAAAGCAACATCCAGGACTTCATCTTACATGAGGCCAAAGGTTGCAAAGATGTAGGGGCAGTAGCCAGTCTTTGTGGGGATTCAAAGAGGCATGCTTCCCTTTCGATTTTTGTGGGTAAATATACGCACATACGTGCATTTAATTAATGGGAATAAAATAAATGTTTGATCCCGAAAAGTGGCTACAAGGTGACCAGTCAAATGAAACCTCTGTGGAAGAACATTATTTGCATGGTTCTTTATCTGATTATCTGAATTTTACAACATGAACTTTACAAGTTATGAAAATTACTTTGAATGCTTTGAAGTTCGAGGACTGATAAAGAGGAAAGAAATTCACATTTGCACTATACCGTAAAAAATAACAAACCCAAGTATGAATCATTGCCTAGGATCTTAAAACAGTACTGAGTACCTCATCATAATTAGTTTCATTCAAATCTTCTTCATCTTCATCATCCTGTGATTTCTTTTCAGTGGCAAATCCTGGCTTTCCATGACGCTCGTCACTTATATCTGTAGCATCTCTGGCAGGACCAATATCTGAGCGAGTTGTGAAACCAGTAGCACTACAAAATGAAGACAACAGGAGAATTAGAATAGATAAAGAGTTTTAAGGAGAAATTGGATTATGTGACCAGTCAAATGGAACCTCTGTGAAAGAACATTATTTGCGTGGTTTTTTATCTGATTATCTGAATTTTAGAACATGAAATTTACAAACATAAATCCTGTAGTTTTCAATTTAACGTGAAATACCTCTGTCCAAAATGAAATTATATATTTCCTTAGCTTACATTTCATCTTAAATGAACTTGCAGGAGAACAGTACAGGTCAGTTTTGGTTCTGATGCTACTTGTAAGGTAAGAGGAAGGGTTTTTGGTTTTTATAGAACACCCACTCATCCAGTCACAGCTCTGTCAATGGCGTACTCGTAAGTAGACAGCTCTACTTACAGCCACCTTTACAAAACCCCAATGTTCCTCTCTGCCGACAAAAACTGTTATTTACTCCGGTAAAGTTCTGATTTTGTTAGAATTTCACTAAGCCACCTTGAGTCAAGCACAATTTTTCCTAAGTGCTGAGAGTGTAAAGCAATTTACATGGCACCATGCTCAAGCTCACAGAACAACTAAGGGGTGAATTTTAGACTATTTTGTACTCTTTATCACTAATTTCCTGAAGACAATCTAAGACCGCAATCTAATTGGTAGGCATTTTTTGCATCAGATTACATCTCCACACAAAAATTGATGTTCATGATCGGGAGACAATTTACCATGCTGAATGAAAGGCACAAAGTTCCGTATAAGTTATCCTGTGGTTTTATATTATCCATGATTTTCTCAGGGTTTGCAAATTTTATTGATGAGTGGAGTCAGTGTGACTTTTTACTTCACAAATTTTGGAGTCATTTTAGAATATTTGGAGTCAAGTATCAGACTTTCCAGCACACGGTCCTGGCATGTATACACTATCGAGAGGGATACATGAAGTAGCTGTGGCGATCCGCTGACCTGGAAAGCATGATGGCGGTCATCAAGTAAATTTTGATCGTAATTTGCCCTCTTCCCGTTTTGTTGTGCAGTACAATTCTTTAATTTTGATGATTTAATTAAGGTTTAGAACGTTTACAATTAACGTAAATTGTATTTGTTGCGAAAAAGGTAAGGTTACTGAAAATTTCTGGAGTCGAAGTGACTCCCTGAAGTCACTCACTCCGTAACCTCAGTGGTGTCATCTGCACAATTTTGGCATAAAATACGCCAAATTTGGCCTATTTGCAAACCCTGTTTTCTGCAGATCCAGTTGTGTTTTGAGAAATCGAGTTCAGGTTGTTTTTGAATCACATTGTTAGAAAGTATCAAGTAAAAAACACACTCAGTAGAGGGTCCCCAATAGGGTCCTTTAATCCCATAATTCCAACTTAAAATTTCATGCAATCCTGTAATCCCGAGGGTTATTTTTTGGTTATTTTTCAATTCCGAGCTCCTTGACCATGCTTGCAAATAGCCAACAGGCTTGCCTCCAGCCAGTTGGAAGACTTAACCCTGTTAAGTTTCATTTGAATTATTTGTTTCAGACATTTGCTCGGCCCCACTAGCACCAGTGTTATAAATACTACCGAGGGTAAACAAAGGTATATTATTATTATTACTATCATTTGGTTTCATGACACATAACTAGGTAAGGTTGCATTTTATGTCAGATAAAATAATATGATGATGACACATATCATCATCAGAATGTATTTGGCTCCGATTGAATTGGCCAAATTTTTATCATTATTGGAAACGGCAACCAGTGGCCACAAACCGGTACTGATTCTGAACAATCGTAAAATAATTTAGGTCGTTTTCCGATAACCGGGTTTCTGACCGATATTTGGACGAGTTCCCTGAATCTTTGTTGAACCTGAAAGAGCAGTGGCAACTTAAACTCAGTGATAGACAGATAGAGTGGTATAATAGCTAGTCAAAGGATCATTGGTGATGGTCATAACATAACAGTGTCAGCTCAGCTGATTATTCAATCACGTTAAAACTGTTACCTAAAATTTACACATTCAAGTGTCGAGGATTCTTAACAATGTGTTAAAATAATGCTTGCCGCTTGGAATTTAATTATTTACGGTTCTTTTACATGATACTTCATACTTCATCTGGATTGATGCTTGCTGTCTAAGTCACATGTACATGTACTTGAAGGAACGTAGTTAAAACGATTTTCATACAGCCGAATTGATATCAGCTAAATTCTAAGGCTTACCCTCTTCCAAGACCTGGAACATAACCTAGAGGTGCAGGTACTCCAATAAAAGACTTCTTTTTCTTGTTTAAAAGCGCCATATTTCAGTTAAACAGCTGAATGTAATCTGTTCTGCAATAATTTTTTTTGCAATATGGCGGCTAGCCTCGCTATGAAGAAAATTCTAAAAATTACCACTGACCAAAACTACTGTGGATTTGGTGTTGTCTTTCCCAGGCTTTCTCCCCCACTAGGAATCCCCCGTGAATATGGATATTTTCTGGAACTCACAAAATAGAATGTAAGAACAGCAGTAAAAATTTGGCCTGTTTGCATGATAATCCTAAGAGAAATAGGTTTGCTGTCACTTAAGTCTCTGGGAAAACAAACCTAACTTAGTTTCCTGAGGAAAAAAACTTAGTTTCCTGAGAGAGAAAGGGAAAGAGTAGTTCCCTGAAATTTAAATACTTTTCAAGACTGTAAAAATTAGTTCACACCACGTTATCATTTTTCAGCAAGAAGTGACAGTTTATACAACAGGCCTATGAAGGTACACATTTTTTTCCTTTTTAGAAAGGACATAATAACAGTGGCAGATTCAGGGGAGGCGCTGCCCCCCCCCCCCCCCCCCCCTTTTTTTTTAAAGTGATCATTTATATAAAACAGCGAATAAAGTACAAATTTTTTTTTTTTTTTAAAAAAACACAATAAAAGTGGGGCATATACGGGGGGGCCCCCCCCCCCCCCCCCCCCCTTTATTTTTAGACCAAAATGAAGCCCAAAGGGCTGAAAAATTTTAACCTAACCCTAACCCCCACCACCACCACCACTTATTTCAGGGTCTGGATAACCGGGTCTGAAGGTCTGGATCCACCACTGTAATACTGACCGTCTAACTGGGCCCAGGTTGTTCAAAGGTTGGGTAGCACTATCCATGGGATAAAACACTCTCCAGTGGATAAGTATTAGGGTAGCCTGTGTACAAATGCCCCCCTATCCTCAGAAAAATCGGGGAGAGAGGGGATTTTTTTTTGGTGAGAGGGTATGATCTGTACACAGGCTAGTATAAGGGAAACCAATGTTGTGTTATTCATTGGGTAGAAATTTATACAGCACTCAGTATCATCCACCCTTTGAACAACCTTAACCCTTTAAGTCCCAAGAGTGACCAACATCAATTTTCTCCTAACAACATCAGCAGATTAACAAGAATAAGGTTATGAGAATTGCTAAATTGATTACCAAAGGGAGAATACTTTGATCTTAAACCAAATTCTCTCAACTATTCTCAAAGAAATGTATGGAGATCAGTTTGGAGAATCTGTATTTAGATCTTGGGGCTTAAAGGGTTAAGGAGTGTTAAAATTTTTAGCTTCAAAATGATTGTCTTTGGTGTTTGATCTGTCCAGTCATTATGTCTGATGGCCTGTAGGATTTTACCAAACATGGAAAATTTTAGTCAAAAAGCTCAGGCTCCAGTTGTTTAAACAATAAATAGCACTTTCTACCGGAAAATTCCTGTCCAGTGGATAAGCATAAGGAAAACTAAAAATTGCTTAATCCACTGTATAGAGGTTTATCCAGAGGATAATGCTATCCATCTTTTATTGTTAAAAATATATTTTTAATAAGTTATGTTGTGAGAGTGATACACTGAGCAAGGAAAGAATTACCTGTCAAACTCAGAAAACCATGAAGATGTGAAAATTTTCAGGAAGGTTGATTGTGTAGTGACCAGACCGATAAAGTTCAGGACATGCAAGCAAACCTCAAAACCACAAACTAATTACCGTTGCTGTCTGTGGTTTAGTTTTCTCATACCGCATTGGCTTCCATAAATATTTCTGGTGTTCACAGTAACTAAGTTATTTAACCCTAAAGACCTTTACACAAGTTTGTTCACCTCAGTCAGTAATAAGGATTATTTCATGGGCTACATATTTATATGCAAGGGTACATGTAGAAGGTGAATAAATTCTCAAGCAACAAACGTAAGCATCTAAATATTTGTCCCATTTTTTTACATGATATATCTTTGTTTATCACCTTATTATTGTACAGCTACGTATGGAAGATTCTTGGAATTTCAAAACATATATTCATACACTAGGTAAATTTTGTTGTATACCTTTTACTACTTATTACAATTTATGGTACATTATCACACTTAAGCTAATATTCTTATAAGATTTCAATAAATCAAATTTGTTTGATTACATTCTCTTAGCACTGACTCTGGAGTTATGCTGCGCAATTAAATCTCGCAATTCTTTATCTGCAGTGTTTGTCTGTGTACTATTTTGAAGTGAAGCCACACATGAGCGCCGTTTCTGTTTTGCTGTTTGTTGTTTTAAAGTTTCCTTGCCCCTTTTGCTAGTATTTGTATGGGCCTTAGACGGTACTGGAGGTGCATTTAACCTAGCTGATTCACGGGAATTGCCAACAGCAGCCACACAAGAGCGTCGCTTTTGTTTTGCACATGCTGTGGGCTTTGGCATTGTGGTCACAGGTCTTTTGCAGGCTGTTGTTGTTGATGATGATGGTGACTTCAGTGAAGTCGTCAACTTTTTGGAAGGAGCAGGACAAAAGCTGGGTTCAGCAGTTCTAATCTTACGTCCATTTTCATCATACTGGTTTCGGGTAGCAAAAATTTTCTTGTTATGTTGTTTTAACAATTCCTCTAGACTCATGTCATTATTTAATGCCACTTTTTCACCTCTCAAGGCTCTGTCCTTGTCAGTTTCCATTGCTGTGAGAGCCTGCTTATGTGTTTCAAGTATTGTGTTCAGGGATCTCTCACTGACCACATTCCTCTCTTGCCTATAAAATTCATCACTGCAATGTTGAGCATGATTTACAGTTTCCCTTTTCAAACACGACTCTGTTGTGCGCAATGGCTTGCTGTTGCCATCAAACACTTCCTCCCTCAATAAAGGTTTCTCATCCATATTGCTAAGGGAGGAACTTGGCAATCCCTGGTTAAATCCATATGTTAACGGGTCAGAATTCTTACTGACAGAGGAAGTTTCAGCTAATTTCTTGTATCCTTGGTTATCTAACTGGTTAGAACAGTGACCAGGAGAAGAAAAAGTCATTTTATCAGATACACATGGATTTTTCTTTGTATCAGGAACTGAAGGCAGCAGTCTTCGCTTCCTGCCAACTATCTGAACATTCCCAGTTACAGCTTTTGACAACATTGAAGTCTTTGGAGAACAAGGCGACATGGATGAACTCTTGAGGCCTCTGATACGGTCAGAAGACAGCGGAGATTGAGGTACAGGAACACGCTGTGGTGAAAAATCAGCTAATTCACCTAAGCTACCACTTTTCCCTTCCACTTTGTTTGTTCGTGTTATCTCCGCTGAAAAAATAAAATAAACTGATTAACAATTTAAAGAAAAAAACAATGATACAACAAAGAGTCGGGAGAACGTGTCCGTCACAACATGTACAGTACGTTTTTAAAATTACACAATTCACCATAACTGGTGTGAGATAAGACCCTAATTCAACACCTAATCCAATGTCCAATTCTCCCTTTTATTCACAACCAATTGTAAAAATGCTTTGAGGTGATCAATAGTACAAGGGACGATTTTCAACAACAACTTTTTGCAGAACACAGCGTTGCAATGTTGGAACAATGCTGCAGCTATTCAAATCAATGTTGCAATAATGTTGAAACGTTGCATATATTGCACTAAACATTGTTGTTCCAAATCGTCCCATGTAACATCACCTTTAAGCACTATGAGAACTGGATGGGCGTCTTGAATACCATCATTTTTAAGTGAAAATGGAGCATTAAAGACAAAAAACACATTGTTATGTCCTCGATCATTCTGAGATTTTAGGGTGAGTTTTTAGCAATTCCGGTAAATTTATTGAATTCTTTGCAACAATATAAGTGTTAGTAAATTTATAGTACGTTGATGGTGCCAAAGACCAATCATACAGTTGTAACTGTACAGCTACTTATGTTTTCATTTGTTTGTTCTAGAAATCAAGGTGCCATGGCTTGTTTCTTGCTAAAGATCAGGCAAACAATTGGTTGATGTATATTCTTTGATAGCCTGCGTAGCAAGCGTTTCTGTACGGTTTAGGAGAAAAGAACGAGGAACAAGAGTCATTTCTCGCGCGGTCAAAACCGAAAGTCCCCTTCCTCGGTATTTCTTTGCTCCGAAACCAAATGGAAACGCTTGCTATGCAGGCTAATTCTTTGAAATCCCTACCTTGTTTAGTAATAGGTGAGTTTGTCCATGGTGGTGTAAAGCTATGCTGAACCTCACTTGGGCTGATTCTTCCATCAAATTCACTTTTGCCCCTTGAACCTTTCTTTGATGATGTCTCTTTCTTTTGAGTATGACAAGTGCTGTTTCTTGACCCTGTACCACTATCCCCTTTGAGATTTGCATTCTCATGTTGCCCTCGTTTAGTGCGGACTGTCTTAATCCCTAAAGACTTTTTACTGTTGTAGTTTTTCTTGACTGGATTCTTGGTCTGTGGCTTTGAGCAAGAGGGTGCTGTTGTGGTGCCTGGGTTGCTGGTAAGTAAGGGTTTAGAGGTAGCATCATGGTGGCTTGGATCCCTGGGCTCATGTAATGGGTGAACTCGTTCAAACCACGAATCATCAAGACTGGAAAAATGAAACAAAAAATTGATTACAGTCAGCTCTCTCAGCTCATTTAGCTTTCGCTATTCTACGTAGTTTTTCGCCTTATCTGGTCAATTTATTCTATTCTAATAAACTTCTCGTTAACTTCAACTAGGCAAATAAAATAGTTGGTTATTGTTCAAGTTGTTCTCTCTTAATAGATGCCTCTATAAGACAGAGAGTTCCCAATTACTTGACCAGCTATAATAGTATAACTAGCAACTGTTGTTCTTCAGTTATTAGCCTGCATAAAAGGTGCTTCATGAGTCAAGGGGTGGGTGGGGGGGCAGGGAATAGGCTTTTCAGTAAACATTATCAGTGTGCAAAGAAAGTAGTGTCTGATACCCCAGGGCCTGTGGATTTTGCTATCGGGCGAGTGAATTCTGTTTTTAACTTGCCTGACGGGCAGGTGGTGTTTTTTGAGAAATTCGAATAACAGAAGAACTGTGACATCAATTCTGCTGGTCAAAAAGTTTTTGGGGCTAGTAGAAATGACGTCTGGGCTAGTAAATGCTAGCTTCAGCTTGCCCGAATGGCAAGCAGTAAAAATGATTTTCTTTGAACCCTGGTTATTGACTCTTTATGGTACCAACACCTCTCTTAGAAAGATACTTAGTATTGGATGGAGAGAAGCGACGACCGAAAAAACGTCTGTGTTCGCAGGCTTGTTCCCATCATTTTAAAAATGAAATTAAGGTTTTCCTGGGCGAGTTTCCACTAAGATTTTGTCCAGTCATGTGTGTAAATTACCGAAGTGGTGGAAATTATGTGGAGGCTCAAATATTGACAATAATTTTAAATTTAACTTTCTTTATTTGGGACAATGTGATCATTCCTTTAACTCTGAAATCAAGCAAGGAAATCGATTGCTTCAGTTTCAATGGACTTTTTAGCTTAGCTTTTGTGAAAAAAATTATGGAATTTTAAAAGCACTGATTAAACTTAGACCGAAAGGTTCACGATGTCTTTTTAAACAAAATTCAGCATACAAACATATGGTTGACAAAAGGTAGCTGCAACCTTTCTAAGCTTAAGATTTAGTATGCTCAGAATGTTTGATTAGATTTTTGCGTTTAAAATTTCTCACCTCAAATTATCGTTGACTTCGCCCTGGAAATTTGTCGTAAAATCAAACCATTTCGGAGCCTCGTACTCGTAATTTGGATCAATTTCCATCAGCAATTAGTAGTGATAAAATACCTACGTCGGATTACATCTTTTTGCCACGAAATCACGATCAAAGTTTACAGCAATATACATGTACTTCGTGAAGGTGTTGTTTTCAAAAATGGCGCTTGAAAAAATAATCAACACCCAGAATCCTTTGCGGTCTTGGGAGGTGGGAAAGGGGAGCAGCGGCGCGAAAAAATGGGAGAAAAAAAAGTAATTTATGACATGAAAAGTGACCGTTCCTTTTTTTTCATGTCATGAAAAGTGACAGTTCCTTTTGTGTCAGAATTAGAATTTCAATCTTTCATTGAATAATTATAGTTATTTGCTGCGGCAACCTCATTCGTAGTTCAACTGTTGTGTGTGATGAGTATTTGTTGTTTGGTAGAAGGTGACGGAATGAATTCTTGAGAAGCTAACCTCTGTGAACGAGCATTTTCTTCCTTTACCTAATCTCTGTCATAAATTAATGTTTAGTCTCTAAACGAAGTGTTTATTTTGGACAGGTTAATCAACTAATGTATACATTTTAATATCTTTGTAATTGCGAAAAGCTAAAATAAAGATCAAGGACGCATGTTTTCCGAAAAAACGACCTTTCACCTCTCCTTTTGACAGTCCCAACTTTTCTATGACTGGCGTCATGTAAAAAAAACCTCGTCCTTAACAAATGGTTGCATATTGCCATGCGTCTGCTAAGTAATAGACCACAAATAACGTCAAAATGTGGTGAAAGCAAAAAAAGTTAAGTGACACACTAGCCGCAGGTGAGTGTGTCACTGATTTCGTACCAAATTTTGACGTCTTTTGTGATTGCACTGCAACGTAGCCTCTATCCTACTCATGTCAAGTGTTTGCAAGTGTATTGAGACCGTCCTCTTCCGTTCTGGATAGAACACGATCGAAGGGAGTGTGTTGTTTGGTGCGTGAATATTGACATCTCTGCTATGTGACTTGTGGCGGCACGGCAATTAGAAATTGTAATATAATTTTACTATTCTATTTAAAAATAGAAAAGAAAAATTCCGTTGTAACATAGTCACGTTTGACGTGCATGAGCTATTTTGAATGCTTCAGTGAAAGCGTGGAGTGATTTTCGCGCTTGGAAAGAGCCGTTTTCAGAGGTGTATATGGTGAAATTTTCGCCTTTTTCCAAGCTTGTGTAGGTAATTTCGACACTATACCTTAGGGGAAAGTTGTTGGAACACTTTATCGAGGGTCCATAATAGGTTTGGCGGGATGCGGGATTTGGCTATATTTCGTAGTGATACTCGAGATGCGAACTGAAGACAGGAGCGGGATGTGGGATTTTTAATAACTAGCGGGAGCGGGATTTCCTATTTTTGTGGGGATGGGATGCGAGAATCTTAAGGGAAAAATAGCGATATACGGGAATTTAGTTTTTTCCTAACCAATAATTTATTGAAGTTATGAATATATGGCAATCATATTCATTGCGGAATGAATATATTTAATGAAGGATGATCATGATATTGTCTGAAAAGGGGGCAGCGATTGTTTGGTAATGTTTTGTTCCGTTCAATTTGCAAATTATTTTGAACACTTGAGGCAAACTATTGTTGCTAACAATAAATGAGCTTAAAACATTATCAAACAATCGCTGCCCCCTTTTCAGACCACATCATAACACAGAAACTTCCTTAAAACATAATCTTAACAACACCCAACAAATAATAACTAAATAAAATCACGGAGAGTTTTAGTATGATCTGAATTGACTTTCGTCACTAACTGTTCTTCTTTCTATTTGTCTTCAGCACGGAGGTTTACTGATCAGAAGATGACCGAGTCGATCCTTTAAGATTTTGCTTTTGAACAAGAATGCTTTGTGACATAACATGAGCTCCGTAGAGAGTTTGGTAATCATGCAAATAGTGATCACTCTTCAGTTGGACTGAACTCAGTGTTGCAGTTAGTTCAGACACTCGGCGAAAAAATGCGCAAAAATTGCGCTTCATGTTGATGTTAGAAATTCGCTGATTTTTTATGCTGTAGATCAGTTTTAGCTAAGTTTTGCTGACCGATGTCTATTGAAGCTATCCTAGCTAGCCTAGAGGAATATGATTAGATAAGCGAATCGGATATGACCGAGTAATTCAAACTTGTCACAAACGCTCAAGAAAGCAAAATATTTAAACGTAACGTAACTACTGTCTAGATAAAGTGTTCCAACAACTTTCCCCTGAGGTATAGTGTCGAAATTACCTACACAAGCTTGGAAAAAGGCGAAAATTTCACCATATACACCTCTGAAAACGGCTCTTTCCAAGCGCGAAAATCACTCCACGCTTTCACTGAAGCATTCAAAATAGCTCATGCACGTCAAACGTGACTATGTTACAACGGAATTTTTCTTTTCTATTTTTAAATAGAATAGTAAAATTATATTACAATTTCTAATTGCCGTGCCGCCACAAGTCACATAGCAGAGACGTCAATATTCACGCACCAAACAACACACTCCCTTCGATCGCGTTCTATCCAGAACGGAAGAAGGCGGTCTCAATACACTTGCAAACACTTGACATGAGTAGGATAGAGGCTACGTTGCAGTGCAATCACAAAAGACGTCAAAATTTGGTACGAAATCAGTGACACACTCACCTGCGGCTAGTGTGTCACTTAATTTTTTTTGTTTTCACCACATTTTGACGCTATTTGTGATCTATTACTTAGCAGTCGCATGGCAATATGCAATCATTTGTTAAATACGTTTCACGTACCAAATTAACAACACACTCCCTTCGATTCGTTCTATCCAATCGGAAGAAGACGGTCTCAATATAGGGTATTCCCCATCAAGAGAGTATAAATTTGGAGGTTAGTCAGCTCTCCTGATACATTACAGCAGTTACCGAACAACAATCTACACTGGCTTCGTTTGCTCGTTTTCTATTCTCTTTAACAAAGCTCCTTAAGCATCAGCCTGTAAGAAAGAAGAAATGTTTTCTTTCAAAGAATTTTGCCAAGGTCCTGCGTGTTTTGTCATCGGCGGAATTATCACGGTCATGTTTATAAAAATATTGGAATGGCAAAGGAATCAGAACCCGCACGAAGAACGTGGTGAGGGAAGAATAATGGTTCCTGTACAAGAAGTCGGTGACGGAGAAAGACAAGAGGAAAGAATTGTACACGAATATACAGTGCAAATAACAAAGTTTCCGCAAGAACAAGACGAACTTTAAGGTACTGCTATGAACATTTGTTATTCACGTCTTTCTCACAAAACATGACTCGGGTGTCCATCCATCGATACTTGGCGATGATGAAACTCGAGATCAAAACTTACGTATTCTTACGCGGAATGATCATAACCTTTGTGTCTAGTTATTATTTCTGTTATTGGAAAATTCTCTTTTCTTATAATTTGTAATTTATTCAAAGTTTCTTCCCTAGCTTCTTAGTTTCGAAGAATGATCATTCGGAATCCTACTTTTCGCCCTGCTTTCGCAAATTATCATGAACACCTGAGGTAAACTATTGGTGAATCGTACTATAGGTCTAATAGGTTAAGAGGGTAACCATCAATTATTCGCTTTTCAGGCAATCTAACACGGAAAGTTCCTTGAAACATATAATAAGAACTCCCGGTAATAACTAGACCAAACAAATAATTACTAATAAATTAATGACGTGTTGTAGTATGATCTGGACTGGCTTTCTGCACTAATTTCTTCTTTCAATTTTTTTTTTCGGCAGCGGGGCCACTCTGACCAGAAGATGATCGAGCCTTTGTGTTTGGACAAGAACGCTTTGTGACATAACATGAACTCCGTACGTAGAGCGTTTGGTAATCATACAACTTTTGAGTGACTAGTCTTCAGTTGGACTCAACTCAGTCAGTTTTGCAGTTAGTTTAAACACGACTAAAAAATGTTGCTGTAGCGAATATGCAAAAATTGGGCTTTCCTGATGTTAGAAATTCGCCGATTTTTTAAGCTGTGACTTTTTTTTAAGCTAATTTTTGCTGACCTATCTTTATCGAAGCTATCCTGTAACTATCCTAGATGATTAGAGAAACGAATCCTATATTTAGGGCTTTTGCTAACCTTGTACAGCAGTAATACGTGTACTGCATTTTCTTTGAAAGCCACCAGACCAAAAAAACCCTTAACTTGTTGACTATATGTACCCTAAGACTGGATTGGCATTGTGCAAAGCTTTGCTTAGAAAAGATAATTTAGACTACGGAATCGAACTTCCAAAGAGCAATGCATGTTTATGTACTTTGTGAATTTGTCTTATTGTCCCCGCAGGGAGGAGGAGGAGGCTCTCTTGTAACTCGTGCTTATATTAAGGAAAGTACTTACAGTTGAAATATACAGTCATACAGTCAATATAGAAAAAATCTCGATTTGCTTGAACAGGTGCCGCGAGGAATCAGTAGGTAATGATGACGTTTCTATTGTTTGCGGCTGCAAGTACGAAAAGGTTACGATGACGAAAAGACAGAACATCCCTAAGGGACCGCTTAGGTAGATTTTGTGACAGTCATACTTCGACACTCTTTTGCGTTACGTGTTATCAGTGACATTCTGTGGAGCAGTTGTTTCAATGAAAGTTATGGACCAAAATTTTAAGACTATCCAGAGTACTTTCAAATCTCTAGAAATGCATTCTAAGCGGCGCTATAAAAGTTGTATCTGTTCGGTCGTCCTAGGGCAACTTGAATCTTTTCGAAATCAATTAGGGCGAAAAATGGGCTAACTTGGGGACTGAAATGCGAAAAACTAAACTCTAGAAAATCGTAGGGAATTAATTAGATAAGCTACGAAAACTGTACATGAATGGAACGGCCATCTAGAAATTTTTATCCTTCCTCAAGTAACAGAAAATTGTAGGCAATTTTTGCTTCTCCGAACAGATATCTTACAGAAAACAGTGGTTCGGTGCCCCTGCCTAAGCTCTATGACATTTTTTTCAGACACAACCTGTCTACCTTCACAGGAAGGGAGAAGGTTCTTTACTTTTAAGCGAATTCGAATGTCCACGTACTGTTTTAATTAAACAGCAACAACAACAACAACATCACATTTTCTTTATGGATGTCCTGGAGCTTTTCTCTATTCCCCCCCACCCAACAACTAGAAGATGTTCACCC